ATCCTCCGCCAATGAACCATCACTTACATACAATGGTTATTCATCACAGTCACCTTCCGAAATATGTAACTTGTTTGCTGAATTCTTCTCATCAGTCTACAAGCTTCCTTCCTCTTCGACTTCTAGTTATAACTTCGGAAATCAAATGAACCTGTCCTCAATCGTGCTTGAATCATCAGATGTTGAGAAGAAGCTTTCTGAACTCAACCAATTCAAGGGAACTGGCCCTGACGACATACCTGCATCTGTCTTGAAACACTGCTCAAACTTACTTGCCCCTCAACTTACTGTACTTTTCAACAAGAGTCTTCAAGCCGGGATCTTTCCTGATGCACTCAAAGAAGGCTACGTCGTGCCAATTCATAAATCTTCATCCAAGGGAGAAGTCACAAATTATCGGCCAATTGTTATTCAACCTGCTCTGGGCAAAGTATTTGAGTGCCTTCTCATCGACAAACTTATGTTCCACTTACAAGCTCTGATTATCCCTGAACAGCATGGATTTATAGCGGGAAGATCGTCTCTCACCAATCTAGCTCTTCTCCAACATTTAGTCACCTCTGCCTTAGCCTCAGGTAGCCAGGTTGATTGTATATACTTAGACTTCTCAAAGGCATTTGATACTGTCAGTCATGAACATCTTATTGCAAAGTTGGAGGGGTATGGGATCTGCGGCAGTCTACTCAGTTGGTTCAGCTCCTATTTGAGTGGCAGATCCCTCAAAGTTAAATTCAAGTATGCATTGTCCGATCCTTTTGTTGCTCTCTCTGGAGTGCCACAGGGCTCTCATCTTGGACCGCTTCTATTCTCCCTGTTCGTCAATGATGTTGTGGATGTACTTGACTGCAACTGTCTCCTGTTCGCAGACGACTTGAAGATTTTTAGAACTGTTCGCTCTAGTGAGGACTGCCTTCGACTTCAGCAATGTCTTCGGCGTGTTGAAGATTGGTGCACCGATAACTGCATGAGGCTCAACGTTAAAAAGTGTGTGGTGGTTACATATAGTAGAGCTAGAAGGCCTGTGGATTATAATTACTGCCTAAGCAACCTGCCCCTCGCTAGAAGTGACAACATTCGAGATCTGGGTGTTGTACTGTCTGCGGATCTGAGTTTCTCACGCCATATTGAGGAAATTTATTCTAAGGCCACCAGGATATTGGGACTCATCATGAGATCCTCTAGATGTGGTCTGAGTATAGAGGCGCTTCGCACACTGTACATTTCTTTGGTGAGGTCAAGACTTGAATATTGTAGCTCTATATGGTCACCCCACCAACAGTGCTACATTGATCGTCTGGAGAGTGTCCAGTGCCGATTTCTACGTCTTATTGGATGTAGGATGGGTTACATGTACCGGGATGTACCTACCCAGGACATCAGAAGGTTTCTTGGACTTGATACCCTGGCCAAGAGGAGGGAAATCAGTGATGCCATGTTCCTGTTCAAGATACTAAATGGACGAATCAACTGTCCTGATCTGCTTGCGCTGATTGACCTGCATGTTTCCCCACCTAGATCCACTCGTTCCAATGTGCTGTTTGCTCGCCAACACTGCTCCACGAACTATGAACTTTATAGCCCTCTGCCTAGACTGCATCGACTCGGCAATCGGCTCTGTCATTATGTGGACTTCTTTGACTGCTGTCCACGGGTTGTCAAGAGGATTGCGTCTTCGGTTCTTGAGGAACAGTAATCTCGTTCTGCTGTGATTTAATTGTACAGGTCTTGTGTAATAAATTAATTCTCTGTCAATGCTTCCTTATCAATGCTCCCTAGTCATTATTGCCGTCTGTCACTAGTTTATTGATATTGCTTGTACTATTGATGTAGTTTTATCTCTCTTGTTATCTAGTTGCATGTTTTCTTGTGGTATTTTATCGACTGTTATTGTTTCCAAATTTCTATTTATTGTTATGCTTGCTATTCAACTAGTTTTTCTTTTCTATTAGCATGTGATGTTAGTACTGAATTGATGTATGTATTATCTTTCTGTTATCTAGTCGCATGTTTTCTTGTAGTATTTATCGATTGTTATTGTTACCTAATTCTATCCTTTGTTATGCTTGCTATTCAACCAGTTTTTCTTTTCTATTAGCATGTGATGTTAGTATTGAATTGATGTATGTATTATCTTTCTGTTATCTAGTCGCATGTTTTCTTGTAGTATTTATCGATTGTTATTGTTACCTAATTCTATCCATTGTTATGCTTGCTATTCAACCAGTTTTTTTTCCATTAGCATGTGATGTTAGTCCCTATCTGCCTTTTAATAAATCCTGCAAAAAACAAAAAAAGTAAAAGAGCATGAGAAAAGGCAGAAGGGAAGAAAATTTAATTAGGATCTTTCAATATTGTATCTGATCAGCATGTCAACCCTGTTATGTCAACCCTGTAAAAATGGTGTTATACCGTAAACAAATAAATAAATAAATAAATAAATAAATGCAGGGATCTCCATTGTCACCCACTTTGTATAACCTATGTATTGACCATATCCTCTCTGAAATGTCACAACATGCCGTAAGTGAGGAGCTAGGGTATAAGCTATGCAAGGACATGCCTTCTCTAAGTATTCTAGGATTCGCTGACGATTCCATTTTAATTGGTAAGAATAGAGAAAGTGCTCTCGTATTATTCGATTCGATTTGTGACTTCTTCAGAGAAATTGGATTAACTATAAATATATCAAAAACTAAAATTATTAACATTGAAAAAGGTAGATTACAAGAGGAAAACTTCCAAATATGTTCAAAAGAAATAAAATCTATAACATTAAATGAAAAAATTAAATACTTAGGAGTAAATTTTTCTGAAAGCATAGTATTTGACTCTGAAAAAACAATTAGTTCATTGATAAACAAAATTGAAAAATTAACATGTTCTCCTTTTTTAAGGTCTGAACAAAAAATGTATGTATTGAATCATAATATTTGGCCATCTTTAATATATCCTTTTCAAACCGCACCAATTAAGAAAATTACAATGAAATTCTTTGACGATGTTGATAAAGTGATAAGATCAACAACAAAGGAAATCTTAGATCTTCCAAATGATATGCCAAATTCTATGTTTTATACAAGTACTAAAAACAAAGGGATTGGGTTATGTAAATCAATGTGGGAATCATCAATCCAACATATAAACATATGTCGCGTATTAAAACAAACGGGAAACCCCTACTTACTTAATATTCGTCAATTTGACGAAGAAATTAGGTTTTGTCTGGAAAAATTGAATTTATTGAATCAAAACCCAAGATACTGCGAGAAACCTTACGAGACTTAGAGTATAAAAATTGGTGTAAACTTCCATACAAAGGGAATGGGGTGGTTCTTTTCAAAGAATGTAACAAGATCAATAAAAATTTGGCTAGAGGTTGTGGCCTCACAGAAGCTGAGTTCAAACAATACTTGAAAATGGTCGGAGACGTTATTCCTCTTAGAAGTCTTCATGGGAGATCCAGGGACGGGAACCAGTGCAGGCATTGTCCTGTATCTGAGAAATTTACTCTTGAAACTCTTGCCCACGTCCTTGGAAAGTGCCCATTTAGTAGTCTTCTACGAAATACCCGCCACCATACCATCAGAAAAATCATAGCTGATCAATTCAGAAAGAAAAGTTACGAGGTCTATGAAGAGGTCACGGCTATAGAAGAAGAGGGCTCTGTGAGGCGGAGTGACATCATTGTTATAGACAAGGAGAAAGATTTCGGTCTCATTATAGACCCAACAGTTCGTCTTGAGACAAATGAAAACCAGCCACAGGAAGTCCATGAAGAAAAAGTAAATATTTACAAGAAAACTATCCCATATTATTCAGAGAAATATAAAATATCAAAATTCGAAGTATATGGACTACTCATTGGATCAAGAGGAACAATTCCTCAACAAGTTGAGAAATTTTGGAAGAAATTCAAGTTGGAAAATCAAGTGCTATATTTAATATCTTTAACAGCCATAAAATTTTCTATTAATATTATAAGAAACCACCTATATAACAACTATCATAATTAGGTTTAATCAAACTTGCAAAATTTAATGTAATATTATTCTTTGTTCTACAGCAGACTACAATGTGTAGTAAGATTTCAATTTTTTAAATAAATTTGAATTTATATAGTCAATGGTTTTACTTATAGTTATGTAAAGTTCTATGGAAAGTGAATCATAATTTACTCAAAACACATATCAGACAAGCTAGATTTAAAAAAAATATTTAATTGGGTTAAAGTTTGTTTCTTTTTTGGGTCACTGTTGCTCCAGCCTTGGAAAATAACCGCTCAGAAGGCACGAGCGTGGCCATTTTACTCAGATTTGTCAGAAATTACCTTCCGATACTTACGATACGATACTGGCCTCTTGGTATCGATACCAAGTAAATATCGGAACAACCGATATCGATACGATACCAGCAGTTGTTGTTTGTCGTGACAATAATTTTTGTTAGTTATTCTTATTTTTGATTTTATTGGTTTTTATTAAAAGGTGAAGTAACCTTTCTAGAAGTAATTTTATTTTGGTGATCGTAGGTAACGCACTAGCGGTAGTGTTGGTTCACGGCTAACCTACAGTCCTTTCCTTTTGTGACGTTTGATTATCCTTTTTAACTTAGCATAAATGGTAATAAAAACACGATCGGGGATTAATTGGCTTTAATTTGGGATCCGAGGCATATAAGGTGTAGTTTTACCCCCCCCCCCCTTGGAATTAACACCTTACAGTATCTTGAATACTTACTGGTGTTCTGTTAAAACATAATGCTGCCAAGGCTAACTGGTTTCACAATGTGTTTTAACTAATGATTATTGAGCTAGTAAACTACTTAGAGAATGTTATTAAGTTAGGTAACAGAAATGACCCTCTTAATTATCAAGAATTAATATTTGAAAACTATAAACTAGTCCTTGTAGGGATTGCTAAAAGTATAGAAACTTTTGAAAATTGTGGTACCAATTCCTTTAGCTTAACTGTATGTCTAGTAAAGATTGGCCATTGTTATAGCTGCCTGTTACTGCGTTGACGTGGGGTCACAATGACAAGAGGTTGTTTGTGGCCACTGGCTGTATGGTACACATGGCCTGGGTGTCAATGCGAATAGCCTCCTTGCAGCTGTTGTGTAGTCTGCAGGTGTACCATCGTCTGCAGGGCAGTTTGCGACAGTTATCAACATTGCCTCTGCCTCTACGTATACAGCAGCTGGTCTCTAAGCTCTTCACTCACACTATTAGGGTATGCATACTTTAACTACCTGTTATTAAATGTTTAAATCAATCTGTTGATCTGTTATTAAATTAAACTAGTTAAACAACTAAAATATATAGACTTCCTCTTCCTTTTAGTGAATTTCCAGTATAGGGAATAAGCTATTATTGTAGGTCTCGTGGTAATACCTGGACCCGGGACCGATTTACTTTTCCATTTTGATGTCCCTAGAGGCCAAAAACACCATCAGCTCAAATTTATATATATTTTTAGCGAATTTCCCTATAGGGAAGTAGCTATTACCGTAGGTGGCACGGTAAGACCTAGACCCGGGACCGATTTACTTTTTCATTTTGATGTCCCCAGAGGCCAAAAACACCATTCATTCAAATTTTAGCGAATTTCCCTATAGGGAAGTAGCTATTACCGTAGGTGGCATGGTAAGACCTAGACCCGGGACCGATTTACTTTTTCATTTTGATGTCCCCAGAGGCCAAAAACACCATTCGTTCAAATTTTTATATATGTATATATATATATACTTTTGTGTCCACCCGGTTTGGCAGTCAGTGCGCTGGTAATTTACTCGGTGTGGCAGTCACCCCCCCGAAAGCCAGTCAGCTCTCCCATAAGCCAGTCAGGTATGGCTTCCCGTGCACTTTATACGTATGAAAACAGCAAACCGGTGCTGCTGCCTGTGACGATAAGCGTAACTGCAATACCAATGCGGAGACTGTCTCATCGTGTGTTCTATCGTGGAGTAGTGTAGCCAAGTACGGCACCCTCATCGCCTACTTTGTAGCGGTAACACCCAGCGGTCTGTAACCATCGTTTACTCCTTGTTACTATTTTTGTTGGGATAGTGATTAACTACGTGTTAATGTTTAAACATGTTCATACTCCAAATAAATATGATACACCTCTAATAAGGATCGTCGAATATTAATTAATTATAATTGGTTGAATCTTGATCCTACCCATTCATTATCTCATATTTTATGTTATTTTAATTTTTTTTTACCTTCAGTTGAAATTTTACTCAACTTCTCTTTTATACAATATTTTATATCCTAGTACAATATTTACAGTGTTTCCACGGACCGGGAACTATACGGATTTTCTTTATCTCGAGAAATATACGTGAATCTTGTCCGAGATACGGGAACTGTTTTTTTACGCAATTGCGTAAAGCGAAGGAGTAACTATTACAAATGACAACGATATTATTCTATCTGATAAGAATAACCATGAAACTACACTCGAAAGATAAAAGATTTTTATAATAATTTTAATTTTACAAACAAACTATTACAGGAATTCTATTTTGGGACGGATGAATGATAAGGAAGCAACAAAAAGTGTTCACGAGTGCAAATGCGGGGGGTGGGAGGGGGGTACAATATAACAAACGCCAGAAACGATTATTTGTTTACTTTTCAGATTCCTTATCAAATCTCTCTCTTTCTCTCGCTCTCTAACGATGTACAGATTGTGGACTTAACGATTTAAGTTTTCCTACAATTATTTCAGTTCAATCACATACCTATCCTTATGGTTTCCTATCTATTATTTTTCAAAATAAATAGTAAAGCTGGTTAAACTATTTTTTATTTTATTTTCTTGAAACCAAACACTCTTTACCATCCGGTATTCTGCAGAGTCATATGTTCAACACTGTGTTTATAAAAATTGAATGGCCACACAATTTCCTGTTTTTCTTTTAAGTAATAGTAACTGGAATATTTATATATACCAATAAGTGCTGCAAGCTGTAATAAATGCTTCTGATTTATATCAAAATAAGTTATAATTTATTTTGTATAATACATCGGTCATTGAATACAAACCATAATGGGTTTTCTATTTGTAACTTTAACTTGCAAATACTGTACAGTAGAACCTCGCTTAACTGGAGTCGCATCATCATGATGCCTATATATTATATAACCTCACAAATCCCAAGAAAATGTTTGATGAAATGTGTTTTTCAGTATAATATTTCGATATGAACGATATCTATATAATTAATACGCTACACGAAACTTTGTCGGTTGAACTCCTCCGCCATTTCTTAACCGATTTTATCCATTGACGTCTTATTGGAAAGAGCGTGTCGCGTAGATTTGCAAACTGACCTTACATTTTTTTTAAAGTCTGCTCCAGTGGCTGTTAAAGTTCCCATGTTATCCTTATGGAGATCATAATTGTTTACATTTTGATCAGCTGTATATTTAATTGCTGTTATTTTTTTTTCAATTCAATGAAACGCACTGAGTACATTTATTTACTATTTGAGTTTGTGAAAACATAACCTCCAAGACGGATCGTGATAGGATGGTTGTATCATAAACAAGATATTTATGTATTTATCGTTGTTTTATTGTGTCGCTATGACGGATAGAGTTAGCATGATTGTAACTGAAATTTGTGGATTTATCGTTGTTTTGTGTAGCTATAATTTGTTTATTTGTTTTTTTTTCCTTTTAAATGCCTCTAGGACTCGACGACAACGAAACATAAACAGGAGACGTAATCGTGATAACGACCGCAGCTACAGAACAGTGGCGCCTAATAGGCTTAACTCATCACAGTCAGCACCTGACCCTGGACAATCTCAACTATTAGGTTACAAATGCGCCCTAACACTATCCCAAAACGACTTTTCGTTCTCAATTGGCCCTCTATCAATAACCTGTGTTGCCTGTACAGCGAGGCATTTTGATAAGGAGAAAACCGGCCGGAATGATTTAGGTTTATCAATAACGAAGATAAACATGGTCTGAGTTATACACCGGCAATCTTTGAGTTGACTCTTTTAAACTCATTGTAAATATGACTGTTATTCGTTTTGAAATAACTCCTTTAATACTTTGCAAATTGCTCGAATTCGAGCAACATGTAAACTAGTATTTAACTATTTACGGTAATTTTTATGTGCAGTAGGTTCCCAATTATTGAAATATTACAGTTCATTTGACAAAATTAAGATGGATGCAAAACGGAGAAATATCGATCAGTTGCGTCAAGGTCAAGCTATACGCTCGCATTTACAGACTGACAATCTTGCACTGACATTGACATACTGACAATCGTCTGCTCCTGTCTGCTGTCACAACACTACATCATTTTGTAGTTGGGTCGTTGGGTGATTAGTAACCATGACAACTTGTGGATGGAGAGAAACCAAAGAAAGAATAGAACAAAGAGAAATAATAAGAGGTGTTTTACATCATCGTTATCTTTATCTTATTTTTATCATTGTTATTATTACCAGAAAGACTTAAGTACAGTACTATGATTTTATGGTGTTTTATGAGTTATTTAATATTTTTATCCCCATACTTCTGTTCTGAAACATCATGTAGTAGTAGCCTAGGATGACTACGGTATCAGTAGTCTTCTAGTCTACATTTTCTTTTGTTTTGTTCTTTACGTGATTTATTGCTGTACAGTAAGCAAGTTTTGTTTTGTTTGAGTAAGCATACGGTGTAGTTTTTACTAGTGAACCAAGGTTAATGACTTAACATATCACGGTTGCGCAATACCTATTGTATTTTGACTATGTAAAATGCAAATTTATAATCACGATAACGTCCATTTATATAGTGTCCCGGAACGGCATTGTTCCTGAGTAAGAAACATATAAATATCATATTTAAATTATCCAGAAGTCCTTAGTTACTCACACAGGAAAAAAACGTTTTAGGCCTAAATCATTTGAAACCTGTACATTACATATTTTTGGTCGAGTTTTCGACCACTGGACGACCACTAGTTAAAGTTAATTGTATTACAACAATCTTTATAGTAAGCCATATAAGCTTGAATCGGACTTACCTGCCTTCAGCTAATCTATCATATGATAGTACGTTAGAGAGTATGCCCATGCTGAAGTTTTACTTATACTTGAAGAATGACTTAATTTAGTACCAAGAAATAAATCACACCCCTTACATACAGTGTGCTGTTTTAATGCTGTGTAGTTGATTGCTACTGTATTAACCTGTGATCGCATATTAATTCCTTCATTAGGAACGTATTTAAAAAAATACTACTTTTATTTTTTTTAATTTATATGATTTATTTACAATAACAGAAATGTGTAAGATTAAAATAAATTAATGTGTTGCATTGTCCATTTAATGTTACATCATAGTAAATTAAAATTCCACTGAAACTTAAACAATAAAAGCCGAAATTAGTTATAAAGAAAACACGAGTTTCCTTTATATTGCTTTTACAATCGAAATATACATACTGAGCCACGGCTCGGTCCCCCGGTACTTTTCATTTTAAATATTCAAATAAAGTCGATTATTTTAAATGTTTTATGAAACGTGACATGGCAAATTTCCATGGAACTTTTTTGTCGGCTACTACTTTATTTTATTTTTTGGTCAGGTAAGTTTAAAAACAGTGGATTCTGTATACAAAAAGTAAAATGTTCTAAATCATATTTTTTAATTTTTGGCTTATGTACGTAATTTAAATTGTACGAGAGGGGCTTCCCACCGTGCCGGATTGCGCCGTGCGGGCATATTTTGATCCAGTGGCGGGTGTTTGGTGTTTTGAATAAGAATACTGAATTGCTCGTTTTAAGATCGTATCATTACAAATCCTATCATTTTAAGATTTGCTTACACTTACGAGAAATGCATTTTCCATTTGTAAATTTCTCAGGTACAAATTTTATGAAATAACGTACATTATTGCGTTGTTTGACAACAAGTAGCTGGGGACCGAGCTTTGTTCGGGAAACTTTATCACTACACTACACTTTGAGAGTATTCCTTGGTCAATGTAATTCTATCCCAAAAATAATAATTTGCGGTATTTTTTTCTTGACATTTAACTTCTATTCAAATAATAATATCATAGTTTACTGAAATGATGAGATAGAAGAGTTTTTAAAAATTTGTTTGGTTCCCCTAAATCGCCCAAACTATAGAAATTACCCAGTATTTTTCACGCTGAATTCAAAGAAGGCTATTAGCAGTATGAAAATCTTCCCACCTTCCTTCCTTTGA